TTACGACCGCCAATAGGCCAATACTGAAGACGAATAGATGCTAACAACGATTGTGGTCCAGCGTGTAAAAGTTTTCTATGAAAGCTGCTGATGATTGACTCAGTCACCGGGTGACGTTTTGGCAAAATAATTGGGTGTTTCGATGAAAAATCCAAATTTGAATGCTGAAGTCTTCCGCCGACTCGGATCAATCCACGCTCGTCTAGGAAGGGGTTCAGTGAACGAATTTCAGATGAAGTCTTTATCGCCTCCTTAGCTTCTAGCGCTTTGTATGCATCTCGAAGATGCGTCCTCTGAATCATTCGAATAAGCAGAAAAGTGCCTTCCTGTTACTCAATGGCGTTGAGTAGTCCCGAAAGCCTCTTTCCAAGTGGTCGGGAGAAACGATAAATGTATGCATATACTCTCTGCAATCGATCAAATGAGTTAGAAAATTTGCAATTTAAAGACATGTCTGATATAGTAATAAATACAAATGCACGCTTTCGATATTCGGGTAAGTCCTTTATTGGTAAGAGAGGAGATTTTGGCCAATTGTTCTGATCGCCACCAAGATAAGATGGTCCGTTTTTCCACAAAGACATGTTTAAAAGATCTTTCGGATTAGCGCCTCTTGAAAGAATGTCTGCTGGGTTGGAATCGGTTGGAACATACCCCCAAGTCATACCTTTAGTTAGGGTCTGAATTGCATTAATACGATTTGCGACAAAAACGTTGAAGTTGGCCGGTTCATTACGTAGCCATGATAGCACTATTGTGGAGTCTGACCAACAAAATACCTTTTTTCCTTTGAAATGCGTTGCGCTTACCACTTTTGCGATTAACTCGGCTAAAAGTAATGCTCCAGAAAGCTCAAGCTTCGGTACCGTGAGCGCTTTAAGTGGAGCTACACGAGATTTGGAGCAGAGAAGATTGGTTAGTATGTGTCCGTCACTTTCAGCACGTATGTATATGCAGGCACCATAAGCAGCAATACTCGCATCGCAAAACCCATGTATTTGTAGGTCCGCCTCGGGCATTATCAAGTAACGGTCGAAACTAAAACGAGCAACTAGCTTGTATTGGTTGCATATTTCCAGCCATTCTTCTTGTAACGCTTGAGGTGGGCTTTCGTCCCAATGTAGCTTCTCCTTCCACAAATGCTGCAAGAATATTTTGGCTTTGGCCACCACAGGTCCAATCAAACCAAGCGGGTCGTAAAGCCTAGCTATAGCTGAAAGGATTGTACGCTTAGTTACCTTGGTTGGTGTTGCGAAAGGAGAAAATGAAAATATGAATACGTCCAACTTTGGGTCCCAAACCAATCCAAGTGTCTTTGTTATGCTTGCACCATCATCGAAGGTTAGAAAGTCCTGTCTGTCATTACCACCTATATCAGCCAAAACGCGATCATCATTGGAGCACCATTTCCTCAAGTGAAAGTTTCCAAGAGTTAACAATTTCTTTGTCTGGTTTAGCACGACTTTAGCTTCGTCCACAGAGTCTGCACCGAAAATCATGTCATCCACATAGAATCCATGGTGTATCGTCTCGGCTCCAACGGGATAGACGAGAGCTCCGTCACGGCCAAGTTGCTGCATTGCTCGAATGGCTAGAAAAGAAGCTGGCTTTGTTCCGTAGGTGACGGTATCTAATTTAAAAATGCAGAAATCTTCATTAGGATTATCCCTCCATATTATACATTGAAGGAAGTTGTCTGGATGAGACATTCTTACGCACCGGTACATTTTAGCGATGTCTGCAGTAAGAGCAATTTTAAATGTGCGAAATCTAAGCAAAATATCAAAAAGAGGTGGTTGAATAGTTGGTCCTTTCATCAGGATCGAATTCAGCGAACGTCCATTGCTGGTTGCCGCAGAGCCATCAAAAACCACGCGCAGTTTTGTTGTTGTGCTATCAGCTTTCAACACACAGTGATGCGGCAAAAAATTCACTGGAATTTGCTTTGGTATAGTGTCAACGACTGACATATGATTCAAATCAAGGTACTCCTTGATAAATGACGAATATTGTTGTTTTAGTTCAGCATTGCGCTGAAATTTCCGCTCTAAAGCTTTGAACCGATTGATGGCCTGCTGATACGATTCTCCTAATTCGCAATGAGGCGATTTTGCTGGCAATCGAACCGAAAACTCACCAGATTCTAATCTCTTATGGGTTTTGATGAAATGTTCTTCGCACAAGTCTTCCTCTACTGTAGTCTTTGGTGCGGAGTCATTGCAATTCTCGATGGCCCAAAATCGCTGAACCAGGTCGTTTAACTCGACATCTGTGTCATTTGCTAGAGCCATGTCGATGGCTGCTAAGCAAGATAGTTTCTGAACATTGTATGTAGTTGCGCCTGATACAACCCAGCCTAACTTTGTTTTTTGTAAAAGTGGCAAGTTTTCAGCCAAGCGAATCCGACCGACGCAGAGGAGGTCGAAAAATAAACTAGCTCCAATGAGCATATCAATGCGCTGAGGTTCGAAGAATTGTGGATCCGCTAAGCGTATGTTTGATGGTATGTTCCAATT